ATTTAAAGGGAAAATATGGCTCTTGGGAAGTAATGAATTTGATATAATTTTTAAAACATTCTGTAGACATTTTAAATGACACCCTGTGATAGTAAAAAAGATATTTTACAATACTCTTGCTTATAATTCTATACAATGTTCAGATAATTTGTCAGATTTTAATTCAATTTAACAATAATTTGTCTTTATTGTATACTGAATAAATGATGCTGTTAGATGATATGTTGATAGGTTTTGATACCTTTGTAGGATTAAAACCAAGGACATAGTAAAGAAATGTGTTATAACTGCAATAAGATGGTCTGTATGAAACATTTATGATGTAATATGCAGACTTGAAAATTTTGCTAAAGGGAAAAAGTACATCCATGCATTATGGACATTTAATACCATAGGTATTTTACCAAAAGTTAGTGCTATTACCTTGGAAAAAGTAAAAGGTCTTGGAAGACTGAAAACAATTAAGAAAAATAATGGCTTGAATTTAAAGGAATAAAGATCATTTTTATTTTGTTTCCTTTTAATACTTTAATTTTTTCTTTCATTTTATTACTACAATTCTGAATAAAGACAATGTGTTATGTTTTATTTGTAAAGACTTCTCTGTTTTTGTTTTTTGCTGCAAATGTACCCAATTTTCCCACAATATTTATATTTATTTACCACAATTTTCCTTATTACTGAAATGTTTACTATTTATATCCTATTTTTCTCTCAGTTACCCAATTTTCCCTAAATTTACATAATTTATACTAAATTTTTCCTTATACAAAGCAACTTTTTTCTTTTTTGAAAACATTTACTGAGGAATTTTGAATCTTTATGTAACCCAGTTTCTCCTACCATCCCCAGCTGAGGGAAGAAATTATGAAACCTATGTTTTTTTAGGGGGGGTACAAAAAGAAAGTAGTGTTGCCTCCAGCCCACTGGCCTTTACTGCCTATGGTAGGCAAAATAGTAATATTAATAATTTAAACACAGTTCCCAGACTCTCAGATAACCTATAACCATACACAAGTAGAACTTAAAATATAAGTAGGATTAAATTCAACAAAGGGATGGGGAATCAAAGCAGGACACACATATACAAAACTCAGACTTAAGACAACATGACTTACAGTTGGAACCAAAGCGGTAATTAGAGCCTTTCACTGTCTCTCTGAGTCCTTTTGTAAGACACTCTGCCTGCTATCACTTGGATGGCTTTCGGTGGTGGTGGTGGTGCTGTTCAGGCTTTTGCTGCAGATCTCTGGAGGCTGTAGCTCTCCTGAAGTTCCTTCTCAGATCATTCTGTTCACTGCCCTTGGACCCAGAGGCTTCTGTCACTCTTTCTGTCCCCAGAAATCCTTTTTCTACAGTTTCCACACAGGGACAAAATTGTTGTTGTTCAGTTGCACAGTCGAGTCTGATTCTTTGCGATCCCATGGACCACATCATGCCAGGCCCTCCTGTCTTCCATTGTCCTCCTGAGTTGGCTTAATTTCATGTTCATTGCATCAATAACACTGCCTAACCATCTCATCCTTTGCCGTCCCCTTCTTCTTTTACCTTCAATCTTTCCCAGCATCAGGGTCTTCTCCAGTGAGTGCTCCCTTCTCATTTGGTGGCCAAAGTATCCTTGTTCTCCAAGGCCAAACTTGTCCATTATTCTGGTTACATTTTGACTACCTACTTTAGCATTCCAGTCCCCTATGATAATAAGGACATCTTTTTGTGTGTGTTAGTTCTAGGAAGTGTTGTAGGTCTTCACAGAAACTATCCACTTCAGCCTCTTCTGCGTCAGTGGTTGGGGCATAGACTTGGATTACTGTGATGTTGAATGGTTTTGCCTTGGATTCGGATCAAGTTCATTCTGTCATTTTTGACATTGTATCCCATTACTGCCTTTTTCACTCTCTTGTTGACTATAAAGGCTACGCCATTTTTTCTATGGGATTCTTGCCCACAGTAGTAGATATAATGGTCCTTTGAGTTAAATTCGCCCGTTCCCATCCACTTTAGTTCACTGATTCCCAAGATGTCGATGTTCAGTCTTACCATCTCATTTTTGACCACGTCAAGCTTACCTTGATTCATAGATTGCATTCCAGGTTCCTATGCAGTATTGTTCTTTGCAGCATTGGACTTTCCTTTCACCATCAGACACATCCACAACTGAGCTTCCTTTCGGCTTTGGCCCAGCCGCTTCACTCTTTCTGGGGTTACTTGTACTTGCCCTCTGCTCTTCCCCAGTAGCATATTGGACACCTTCTGACCTGAGGGGCTCATCTTCTGGCATCATATCTTTTAGCCTTTTGTCTATGGGGTTTTCTTAATGGAGTGAGTTGCCATTTCCTCCCCTCAAACTCCAATAGAGGGCCAAACCCACAGAGTTACACTTACATAACCTAGAAATATAAATATTGGGCAGGCTGCAACAAAAATAATATTTATATAGCTGGAAAGTGAACTTCATAATAAGTTCAGTCACTGATAACACAGGAAAATAAATACCACACTCAATACTATGTTAAGGACTTACCAGCAAAAACTTGGAAAACTACAATGACAAAACCATACACGGTGACAACAGTTTGTCAAAATGCAGTATACTTGTCTGACTAGAGCTCTGGTGGCATATTTACTAAAAAAACTGATAGTTTCCACCAGATTTCAGCACTATGCAGAGGCAGAAACCTGGAGTGCCAGCATTTAGGCTTTAGCTTGGTCAATTGTAAATAAGTGAACAGCACAGTTAAAGGGGCCCACCTTCAGTGCCCCCCAGTGTACTTTGGGAACCACTTGGTTGGGTCGTTTTTGTTTGTTCTTTGAACTTTTATTGTTTTTGTAGATGATTAGTAAACAGCAAAGTCATCCCAGAGTCATACAGGCCCTCATATTCCATCCATGCCTACTCATTAAATGAGAGAGAGGAATAAAATCAGGAGTCTATTTAAAAAAGTAGCTAAATATTGGGAAAGAAGTCCCATGCACTGGTCTAGTAAAACCAACAATCTTGGCCATTACGAAAACTGGTGGCAAAAGGCAATCCTACCAGGATGTCTCAGTTAGCTCTGACCTTCAGTCTCACACCCTCGAGGCTCAACCCTGGCAGTTCTATCTAGAGGGAATGTATGAAAGTGCATTCTCCTCACCTTCCCTGACCAATGACAGAGAATCCCTACATGAAAGGATGAGGGATAAGGCCTTCAGTGTCATTTCCAGGCAGGCTGGCGCCAAGCCCCACCATGTTTTCTTACACATAATACCGAAGGCTCAGTTTCTGAACCGTGCAGAAAACATTTCTTCTTTTTCTTTGAAACATACTATATTCTGTTGGATGTCACCTAGGTCTGGTACTGTGTCCCATACCAGCATTTTCCAACCTGCTCATAATGCTTTAGTTCTCAACTAAGCCACCTCACATTCATGCTGAAGAGTCCCAGTATAAGCATTTAATAAATACAGGAGGTTACTTTTTTGCCTAGTTACACAGTTTTTTTAGATTCAGTCCCCAAAATACTACACCATAGATGGGTATAATACTGCACATATGTCACCTCCTGTTGCATATATAACATAATATATGAACATTTGGTGCAGCTGTATACTGAGTCAAACCACTCATCCATCTCGCCTAGTTTTGCCCTTTCTGGCTAGCAACAGCTTCAGGGTATCAAACAGACCTACTACTTGAGAGCCCTTTAACTGCAGTTACCCAGAACTGAACTGGGGATCTTCTGCAAACAAAGCATATCTACTACTGACACATGGTCTCTTGCCAATATATGCTGGGCATACACATCAGTACCTTTACATACAATTTACACAATCATACCACCCGGAAATCAGATGCTGTTGGGCACAATGCATGTCATGTTATATTATACATGGTGAGGATTTATGTTCTACCTTTAAGATACGGTATTCTGAGCTTGAGCTTGTATAACCAGACCCATGACAAGCACTGAATGTAATGCTCAGAGTTAGAAATAACCCATTGCTGTAAAGTGGAACATTATAGCATTTTTGATTGTTAAATAATCCAATTGTTTAATAACATAGGGCTTTATACCTTTATACCTTTTGACTTATTGATCGCTCATCCTGCAGAGTTGCTGGCTCTGAGCGATTTACAGTTACACAAGTTTTCACAAGGGACTAACAGTGTTTCATAGGGGGTAAGGGAGGACAACATATAATTCTTTAAATCGCACACTTTTTCAGCCAACAGGGATTTTGTTCAGCTGAAAGCTTCAGGCGTGTTCCGGACGGCATTCACTTTTTCGGCGTGGCTAGATGATGTCAGTTCTTCCAGGACTGCTTTTGAGTCATTCATTTTTATATTAATGTACTTCTGTGCTACCTTGAACAAACTAACAAAGTGTGTGAGTAAGCTCCAGCATCACTGAATGGTAGAGCCTCTGCTCTGCATGAAGAATCCTTGGAATGTCTGTGAAAAGGATCTGGTAGTAGCGGATGTGAATCCCGAGACCCTGGAGAGTTGCTGCTCATCAGAGAAGACAACATAGACTGATGCAGTATAAAGTAGCTTTGTTTATGAGCTCAGTTTTCTGCTGGTTTGTATGTCCAAAGCCCACCTTCATATGGATCTTGACGGCAGCTTTTGTACAATCTGCCTATTCTATGTACAAGAATGGAGGGAAGGCTTTTACTAGCATTAGTTCTGTTTCAGACTTTGGTATCTGAGAACTCAAAAAGCCACCTGTTTAAATATTTTGGACCTCTTCTTAACAACTGGAACATTCCCGATAGCACTATATGAGCATGAAAGCTCTAGTACCACTGTATAGATAAGACCTTATTTGGATTTTGTACTCTGTTCTGCATGTTTTACATTGTTTATATTCTAAGGATTTGTATTTTTATACACTACAGAATATCTCCTGAGGAAGATCCGGTTTTTGAAACATTGTTATAAAATCTGGAGACGATTTATTCTTATACAAGGATTTTCTTATGATTTGATGGAATTTGTTCATTGTTGTTATGTAGTGTTTATTGGCAGCAATATATAGAAAACAATTTTTGTCTTGATGACTACCTTGATTTGTGGGTCTGACTCTTACAACTGTTTTCTCAGTACCTGTTTACATAGTACACTGGGACCCTTGGAGGATTTCAAACAGCTAACCTGACATAAACTCAAGGATGTCAAAAAGCTGTTAACTAGGACAAGTCCCTTCTGTTTAGCTTTCCTTCACAGAATGTCTCTGTAAAAACAGAAGCTCATCAGTGTGCTGAATATCTTTTTCGGCCTTCCCATTTTGTACCATGAGAATCTAAGTTCACAATAAGAGAGGAAAGTGTGGGACTGTTTACAAGAGGTAAGTGAGTGGGAGGGGTGAAAACCAAGTGAGAATAATACAGCTGTTTTTTAAAAAAATCAGGCACAATTTGAGAGCGAAAGGGAAAAGAGGATATTTCTATCACTTCTGCAGAAGCCTTTTTGTCTTTTTGATGTAATACCAGGTTGTTACAGAATTTTCATTTAACAAAAGCACAGCCGTTTCTAAGATTCACATTAAAAGAAATCTTAAGGGATTCAGTTCCCCTCTTTTACCCTAGCAGGTGACCCAACAGAAATAGAGGTGTAATGGAAATGCCACTCCCCCTTTTCCAGGAAGGAGCAGCAATATAAACAAAAGGGCAGCAGGTTGGACAAGCACTGCCTGGCTAGAGGCTTCTGCAAAACATGTAGGAAGCTAAAACCAAGACATGCCAGCTGTTCCATGGTTGAATCTGAAACAAGATCCTCTACACATTGAGAAAGGGGAATGCAGATGGCTCTTGGCTGTCTTCACTGTCTCTCGTGTTCCCCGTGCAAGGTGCTGTCCGGGAAGCTGGAGAAATACATTCTAGCTCAGCCGCATCAGCCAGCATCATGCTTGAGGGCGCTACCAGCTCCATGCCAGCAAACAGTGAAACTGTACCATCTGGATCCCCCCTTGGGGGCCTGTCCTCTTGGGGTTTAGGGCCTTGAAGTCTGCATTCTTCCCGCTCTTGGTGCAGGGTAGGTGGCAAGTCATCTAGCTGGTTCCAGCACTCAGATCCTGTCATCAATCCTTCTGAAAGGCGCATAACACTTGCAAGGCCATTAGGTGCTTCGGAGGGCAGTGGTGCCAGGCTTGTAGGTTCGAGGACAGTCTCTCCTGCAAAAAGCATCGTATCAGTCAGCAGATCATTAGGATGTTTGGCTAGGGTCCTGGTAGGGACAACGAGGTTGACAGCCGGGGGAGAGTTCTTGAAAGGGGGATGCCTCCTGCACAGTGCTTCAAAGTGACGCAAGATCTGTTGTAAGAGGACAGAGAGAAAGGGGTAATTATGCCAGAAGTGAGAACAGCAGTGGCATCAAAGAAACAAAGACTCCTTCTCCCACCACAATATAGACTCTACCCAATGAGGAGGCTACCAGGATGTCATGAAAACATCATCTTCACACCCCTCACTGCACGAATTTTCACTCCTGTCTGCCTATTTTGTATTTAAACATTCCATATTTTTTATTCATGTGTCTTGCTCTTCCATGGAAAGCAAAGAGTGACACAAAATGTCTCCCATTTAGGCACTGATCAGGTATGTATTTCCGCTGAGTTTCAGCAATGCTACCTCATCATTATGCTTTTGGCAAGAACTGCTATCTGTGTTTGCGCAATGCCCTGGTTTTCAGGTGGTCTGTAGGAGCATACAGCAACTGAGATAATCTCTGTTAAAGTTAATATACATAAACTGCATAATATTATTAGCTGTCTCCATTAAATCCAGTATGCACCTGAACCACAGGCAATGCAACCAGTCTGGTTATATAGGCCTGTAGAAGAAAAAAAGGTATCAGAGGTAAGAACAGGCAACAACAAAGCAAAACATGATGTTGTCAGTAAACTGGCATTTGTATTCTGTGTATGCTCTATGTAGCCTGCCTGCTGTATGATGGGGGGGGGAATTAGCTCTGTTGCTCTGTTCTCATCCTCCCTGTGCGCTTTATCTCTTGTTTTGACCTTGGAATGCTTTTGCTGCCTTGGTAGTAGGCAAGACTGTGAGAACCGTCGATGGGGCCGTTCCCAATCTGGCTGGTGTGAACCAAACGGCTGAAAGGCTATCTCCCGCCTTGGTTTTCTCCCGCTCGAATTCCTG